ATAGTCTTGGATTAAAATTACACATCCACCATCTGATAGGTGAACTAAAACCCCCTGATATAGAACCTGATTGTCTGCTCTGATGATGCTACAAGAAATAGATATTATGAGCAACAAGGTCAAATCATGAAAACTGTGCTGACAGGCGTGTCTGCACATCTCTCTGAACATGACTGTGAGTGTGTTCCACCTTTGCCCTGTGATGCACGATGTGACTTAAGCCGACTGAAATACAACCCACAGCAGTGACAACCCAGATAGTGTCATGACAAACTGCTGGGCATGTTGCCTACAACATACATGGACGCACCTTTTTGTCTTTCTCTAAGTGTGTGTGTGTTGAACGATTATTGTCAGCGGAAAGCTCTGAGGACAAGCCATGTCTGCTTCTTCATCTCTCTGATTGCACTGATTGATGGCCCCTGCCCTGACACAACAAAGAGAGTGTAAGACTTCAGATAATGAACTTATCACTGCTGGAGAGTCTTTGAAGTTTGAAAACCAATCTCAGCAATCAGCTATGACATCAACAAAAAAAAAAAAGACAGAAAAGAAAAAAAATGTCCATCATGGAGGTTGCTGTGCCATGGATCTGGATGTTTAATCTGTTCATAAACATATTGATCTTGCTAGAAATTCAGATTTTTATAATGCAATTGCATTTTGTTCTCCCAAGCATCTAAAAAGCATGTGCAGTTTATGTCAGAGAGTTAATATTTATAATTAATATCATTTCTCATGTGCATGGCAAGCATCTTTGGCTAGTTTATCATGACGTGGTGTCTTAAAATTAGCATCAAAAATAAATATGTTTAGCAATAGACCGTAAACATTCATTGTTTTGAAGAAAGAACACTAAGTGAAATGGAAATAAATATTACTCAACTGAATGGTTTAGTGGGGTACTTAGAGTGGGTCAGCCAAACCAAGCTAGGACACTGTTGGAGTATTAAGAAGACAACTGAATTTAAGTTGTATGAAGCTTTTTTGTATGGTCTTGCTCACCATGCAGGGCGTGCCCTTCATCACCTGGATAACTTACCTCTCACCCCTAATTTACACTACATGCGTTCCGGCTCTGCTCTGCTCCGGTCCGACCTCCGCAGCAAATATGCACCCATTATAATCATTGGGCCTCATGCAAGAACATGTTCGTATTCTTATCCTAAATTTCTCTTACTTTTGTTCGTACAAAGGGTTCGTACAAACATGTTACGTCAGATTCAACAAACTCTTCTGTCTTCAGGAAAAGGGTGTAAATGAGCTGCGTAAATTCCACCTGTTCATATCCAGCTGCTCGTGCACGAGGAGAAGTTATTTACATAATTACCACCCCAAAAACACCATATAAGGCTATGTTTCCTGCCCCACATACCAGGAAGTGTCCATTCATAAATGACATCGCAAAGAAAAAATAACTTTATGAGTTCAGAGATTGAAGTCCTGCTCTCAGAGATCGAGAAAGAAATTTGTTCTCTTTAGCAGTGTCATGTGAAATTAAAGAAGCTGCTTAAAGGGATGAAATGTGCTGTTAATGTAGTGTCTCCTGTGGGTCGTTACAGTCATAGAAATAAAAATATAAATCATATACATCTCTCTCTAGTCCAGCTCCGGTTTTTCTTTGGTCAAATTTTTTTTAAATTTAAGTGTAAACAACTGTGTTACTGTGTTTACATTTATTCAGAAGAAGGGTGGTTGC